TCACTCTGTCTCCCAGGCTGGAGTGCAATGGCATGATCTTGGCTCACTGCAACCTCTGCCTCCCGGGTTCAAGCGATTCTCCTGCTTCAACCTACCAAATAGCTGGGATTATAGGCGAATGCCACCACGCCCAGCTAATTTTTGTATTTTTAGTAGAGACGGAGTTTCACCATGTTGGTCAGGCTGGTCTCAAACTCCTGACTCCAGGTGATCCACCCACTCAGCCTCCTAAAGTGCTGGGATTACAGGCATGTGCCATTGTGCCTGGCCCATAAGGCTTTCTATTTTTAGGTTTACCATGGAAATTTAATGAGTTGATCCATGCACAATACGTATCAGGGGGCCTGGAAAGTCATAAGGGCACAGTTGATATTAGCTGCTATTATTTTTAAACTATATTATGGATGAGGAAACCAAGGCTCAGAGAGAGAGAGAGGTGGGCCACATTCAAGGCAGTGGTGGAGGGGAGCTATGGAATCGGCTCTGGGCCAAGGGACTCTCCTGATTTGTCAGATCATCTCTGCCTGAATTGGAGAGTGGTAGCCAGATAGATAGAAGCCAGGAGTGGCCAGAGGAAAGTATCAGGGTAGGGGAGTCAGGAGGAAGATAAACAGAATGTGTGTCGGGCGAAGGTACTAGAGAGTCTTCAGGGGCACAGGATTTGAGGGGGTGGGAAGGGTGGGGAGCCAGCTCCCCTGCCCTCTGCCTCCTACTCTCCCACAGGGGCCAGAAGAGGGTGCCCTGTGGCTCAGCTTCAGCAGAGGCTGCTGGCCTCACTGACACCCCTCTGCTGCTTGCAGGGCTGTGCCCAGCTGTGATCCTCTTACTCTCTGGGTCCTAGCTCTCACTCAGATTCCCACTTGCCAAGTGCCCAGCACAGGCTGCTGGAAAATGTGGCTGGAGCTAGGATCAGGGCTGGGGGACATAAGGTAGGCCTTGGCTGGGCCTCAGCTTCCTTTAGGAGAGTGACTGAGGCCACTGCCATCAAGGAGAGGGACAGGCACCCTGTCCTGAAACAGTTGTTCAGGAGAAATGGAGCAGAAGGAGGAAACAGAATCCTGGAGTCAGCTTCTGGCCTGGGTTTGGGGAGGCCTGGCGGCTCCATCCACTGCTGGGAGTAGATTGTCTGTCCTGCTAGTTTTAGTCACCGGAGAAGGCTAGGCAGCAGCCTGGGAAGATGTCGCTATGCGAGCATCTACATCTGCAGCCCTGGGTGGGGGCAGGGATGAGTGGGCGGCCTCCTACCTGCTGCTGTCTTCCAGGGCCTCTGCTGATGTCTTCTCCACAGTACTCTTTAGGGCCCATGCATTTATCTCTAGGAGTCCAGTCATCTCCTTGCCATCCTGAGCTGCCTGCCTCCTGGAGCAGGGCCCATGCCTCTGCAGCGGTCTGCTTCTCCCTTGTCCTGATCAACACAAGGCTAGCCCGTCATCCATAGGCTGCACCTGCCTGTCAATATTTCCCCTCATGACTACTCCTTCTCTCTTGCCCATGTCTCTGTCATCTTCCCTTTGCCAGGCACTGTGGCCTCCCATGCATGATCATTTTTTTTTATCCTCTCAGCAGGCTTGTAGGGCAGGGATGTGAAACCGAGGCTCAGGGAGATTTGCCAACTCTAGGGGCCCAAAGGTAGAACGTGTGGGAGGGGAAGAGACGTTGAGCCCTAGACTGTCAGAGCTATAGCCTATATCCTGTTGCAACACAGGACTCATCCCTGTGCTGTAGAATCTGGGTCATGCTCTGCTTTCACCCACCCACCCTCTACGAGGCCCTTGGCTGGATCCCACTCCTGTGGGACCTGAGGGTGGTCAATGGGGTGCCTGGCAGTCAGTGGTAGATCAGGAACCTTGTTTATTTAAGACTAGGTATCCAGTGGAGACCAAGCCTTGGACTATTAGGGTTATGGGACCCTGAGATCTGGGTCTTTCTTCTTAGGGGTACCTTTTCCTTCTTTCTGTATCATTCAGTCAGATTGATTCTGGGGAAGGGCTACCTACCCTCAAATAGGTAGAGAACAGAGGAGCCCTGAGCAGCCAGATGCCATCTCGTGCCTCCCTCTGCCCCGGTGTAGACAGGTGCCAATCTCCCTCAACCCAGGCCTTCCCTTGACCCCCTGCCATGTGTTTAAAAGGGGTTGGCAGAGGGGATCAGGTGTGGCTCATGACCCTGGTGTCTCAGCCCTGGGTCTTCTCTCTCTCAGCCCTTCGGAAGAGAGAAAAAACTCCCTACCCCAGAAAGAAGACTGTCAAGTCAGGGTGCAGGCCTGTAGAGAGGAGCCCTTAGGGCTGAGCCTGCAGACACTTGACACTAAGACCTGCTAGCTGTGTGGGGTGCACCTGTCTCTAGCATTTGACCCAGCCTCTGATCTTTGCCTTCTCTACCTATCCCCCAGGTGGCCAACCTCTTGCGGCTATTTCAGATCCCGCAGATCAGCTACGCCTCCACCAGTGCCAAGCTGAGTGACAAGTCACGCTATGACTACTTTGCCCGCACAGTGCCCCCTGATTTCTTCCAAGCCAAGGCCATGGCTGAGATTCTCCGCTTCTTCAACTGGACCTATGTGTCCACTGTGGCATCTGAGGGCGACTATGGCGAGACAGGCATTGAGGCCTTTGAGCTAGAGGCTCGTGCCCGCAACATCTGCGTGGCCACCTCGGAGAAAGTGGGCCGTGCCATGAGCCGCGTGGCCTTTGAGGGCGTGGTGCGAGCCCTGTTGCAGAAGCCCAGTGCCCGCGTGGCTGTCCTGTTCACCCGTTCTGAGGATGCCCGGGAGCTGCTTGCTGCCAGCCAGCGCCTCAACGCCAGCTTCACCTGGGTGGCCAGTGATGGCTGGGGGGCCCTGGAGAGTGTGGTGGCCGGCAGTGAGAGGGCTGCCGAGGGTGCCATCACCATCGAGCTGGCCTCCTACCCCATCAGTGACTTTGCCTCCTACTTCCAGAGCCTGGACCCTTGGAACAACAGCCGGAACCCCTGGTTCCGCGAATTCTGGGAGCAGAGGTTCCGCTGCAGCTTCCGGCAGCGAGACTGTGCAGCCCACTCTCTACGGGCCGTGCCCTTTGAGCAGGAGTCCAAGATCATGTTTGTGGTCAATGCAGTGTACGCCATGGCCCATGCGCTGCACAACATGCACCGTGCCCTCTGCCCCAACACCACCCGGCTCTGTGACGCCATGCGGCCAGTCAATGGGCGCCGCCTCTACAAGGACTTTGTGCTCAACGTCAAGTTTGATGGTAATGGTGCTGGCCACTGGCCTGCTGGCTGTCAGAGGATGAGGGGAAGCAGGTCTTCAGGTTCCATTCCTTTGCTAAGGAAACCGTATAGTGAAAGTAAAGGACTCACCCAGGGGTGGCTGGCATCAGAGCCAGAACAAGGATGCTAGGCAGAGAGGACTCCAACTGAAGCAGGGGCTGAGGGTTCAATTTCTTCCAGAGAGTAGACCCCTGGCCTGGTCCTGCCATTTTGAGGGTCTCTGGCTCCTCCCTGGGCCTTGCCTTCTACCTTCTGTCTCCTTATCTTGCCAGGGGTGGAGACCAGGAGACCTCAAGCAGCCCATTCTCAGGCAGCAGTGAGAGTCAGAATCAGTCTGCCTTGAGGGTGAGCATCAGGATGACACTCTCTATTCAGGAAAAATGTCTCTTTCTTTCCTTCCTTCTGTCCTTCCTTCCTTCCTTCCTTCCTTTCTTTCCTCTTTCCTTCTTCTTTCTTTTTTCTTTATTTCTCTCTTTCTTTCTCCTCTCTCTCCCTCCCACTCTTTCTCTTTCTCCCTTTCTGTCTTTCTCTTTCTCTCCTCCCTCCCTTCTTTCTTCCTTCCTTCCTCCCTTCCTCCCTCCCTCCCTCCTTCCTCCTTTCTTTCTCTTTCTTTCTTTCTTTCTTTCTTTCTTTCTTTCTTTCTTTCTTTCT